ACTGGCACCTGTATCTCTGCAAGACACAGATACTCTGTCTGTTGCTGCAGGCTAGCAGTGATTTTTACACTTTGACACATGCTTTTGACAGTGCCAATGCAAAGCCTGGGTACACCAACTTCCAGTAAAAGTGGAAAGACGCTACTAAACAGAGTAGCCTGTCTGCAGTCCAAGTGTTTGGGCATTTAGTGCCAGAAACAGCATGTGGGCAGTGGGGCTGAACAGGGGAGACATTCTATTTCCATATAACTTCTAATTTAGGAATCACACAGTGGATGCTGACCCTGGTTTGAACTGCAGAGACTGGGGATTAATTATCTGGTACCCAAAGAGCTGCAGTTTAGACCAGATATGCAGAAGCTAAACTCACCCATCAAATCACTCCTGCATTTCTTTTTTTTTATTTGTTCTGCAAGAACTATCAAAAACAGTACACTGTGAGGGGATCCTCACACTGGGAGGGAGGAGGATCCAGTCTAACCAACAGGTTACGAGAACACTTGCTCTCCCACTGATGTTGCAAGGATCAGGTAAGGTCTGCAGAGCCCTTTCATGCTCCTGGAAAAACACTAAAATATTCTACATTTCCAGTTTAGCAGAGTTAAACATGAATCAGATCAAGACAGTTGTGCCTGGCCATATGAAACAGCTTTGCAGACATCGTGCATCTGTGAAAGCATCTGTCTGATGGATGCAAAAGGGAATAAAGGCCATGGCACTTCACCCAGTCTGTGCTCTTAGGAGGCTTTCACAACTCCTTTAGTACCCCAGATCTTTCCCAGGGTAAGACCTGAACACTGAAATTATTTTGTGTCTGTCATCTGACACAGGCTGCTGCCAAGTCACACCTGTTAAGAGGTCCACAAAAGTGAGGTAACGTTCCTATTACCACAAGATCCAGATGTGCTATCTGGAACACACACAGAATATACAGCAAGGGGGTTACAATACCTTCAATATTCAATTTATGATTTGAGCAAAGATCACCTTTACTACCTGCACCCTGCTTTTGAAAGATGTTTGACAACCTTTGGAGGGTCCATTCTGCTCCACTGCCAACAGCAGTGCTGTTCATACCACATACCTCTCTCACCTAGTGCTGTTTGAGTCACTATTTTATTAAGTAAAATACATGATTTTTATTTAAAAACAAACAAAAATCACGCACATAGAAAAAAAAAAAATTCCCAAAGGCTGGGAAGGGGAAGCTGGTGTTGTACTGTCACTGTCCAAACTTTGGTCACCTCCGTGGAGCTGGAAACAACTGATGGGACATTTTCATGGAGAGGGACACGGGTCAGGGTGAGAATAATGGAATCTTCAAGGCTGGAATGGAGCTCCAAGGCCATCAAGTCCAACTTGTGACTGATCCTCACCTTGTCACACAGCCCAGAGCACTGAGTGCTATGTCCAGTCATTCCTTGAACACCTCCAGGGATGGGGACTCCACCATCTCCCTGGGCAGCCCATTTCAAAATTTAGCGACCTTTTTCACTATGAAATTCCTCCTGATGTCCAACCTGACCCTCCCCTGGCACAGCTTGAGGCCATTTCCCCTTGTCCTGTCCCTTGTTCCCTGGGAGCAGAGCCCGACCTCCGCCCTGGCTCCCTGCTCCTGTCAGGGAGTTGCAGAGCCAGAAGGTCCCTCCTGAGCCTCCTTTTCTCCAGGATGAGCTCCCTCAGCTCCCTCAGCCGCTCCTGCTGCTCCAGACCCTTCCCCAGCTCTGTTCCTTCCTCTGGACAAGGTCTTCCCTGAATTGAGGGCTCCAGAACTGGACAAAGGACTTGAGGTGTGGCCTCACCAGTGCCCGGCACAGAGAAGTGAGGAACAACCCTGGCCCATGTGTGGAAAGCTGCCGGTCAGGCTGACCTCAGATGAAATGCAAGTTTCAAGGGGAATTTTTGCTTCTGCCCAGGGCAGTGACACACAAGGAAACCAGAGCTGCCACCGGGATCTGGGCACACAAGGGATCTTTTGTTCCCCTATGAGGAAAGCAAGAAGCAATCAGCCACGGCACCAGAGGCTATGCTGGCTCTCCTGTGACCGTGGCAGAGCTTTCAGTCTGCTTTCAGGATTGCAAACACCCCCTTGCAGCCCCCAAAGGTGTAAAAGGCAGCAACACCCACTGCAACTCGCCAGGACAGAGATCATGACCAGGGGAGGAGGTGGCTGCACTGCCCTGCAGGTAATGTGTGACCCAAAGCACTCATTGCTCTGAACCCACAGCCTCAGCTATTAAAAATCACTAAGTGATCCCTCCCTCCACCCTCCCAGCGCTTGACTCCATCACCTCCAGTAGCAGCACTTGGTGCAAATTAACTCAGTGCTGTGTATTTTGCTTAAAACAACATTCTTTCAGTGAACTGAGCGCATTTAGTCTCACACTGGGCATGCGGGGAGTTTCTAAAGAGCTGGTCAGTGTAAAAATTAGAGGCTGTCACATATGAATTTTAATCACTTGCCTTTCTCTTTTTTTTTGAAAGCTGTTTTACATGCGGGTGCTACAAAGCAACTCCCTGCAAAACATCCTCTTAGGGAAAAGCTCGTATTTAAAGGGGAGTTTTAATATGTGCTGAAATAACTGCAAGTGTTCAGATGCTTTGTGAACTACTTTGACTCAAAAAAGGGATCAAATGTTGCTGCACACCCTCTGTAGCTCCCTTGTCCAGCTCACCTACAACTTTTTTTCCTTCCTTTTATTTTTTTTTTCCTCATTTTAAATTGGCATTTTCTGATGACAGGACAAAACCAAACACAGGATCCAGCAGAGTTCCCAGTCCCCTCTCATGAACACTACTGGCTTGAGGCAGGGGAGAAAGCACAGGACCACTTCACTAACACTTGTGCACCACCAATATCTTAAGATCTGCCCTGGCACCTCATCTCTAAATGGCCATGGTATAATAGAAGCTCAGAGAATTAAAAATCTAATTACCTCAATTTTTCTCATTTAACAGAGAGTCTTATATTTTGTGCCCTTTTCCCTTGCCATCTACTCAATCCCATTCAATCACCTCCACTGTGCCTTTCCAGTGTGTTCTGGGCCACTAATGAAGCTAAAATATTCAGAAGACCCAGAAGACTGTTCTCCTGCTCTCAATCACATTGCAAGTTTGACCTTCTGGGATGGCGGGTTTGAGTTTTATCCCTGGTCTATAGGATGCACCAGACATAATCCAATTGTTTCAAAGCTCAGACACTGCAAAGGAAGTGATGTTTTTGCACCAGTTTAGGTTTAGCATGCTCGCAGACCTCCACCCTTATGGCTGAGCTGCTCAAGCACCCATGGCCCACCTCACATGCACCCCAGTTGCCTAAAGCTGAGCTGCAGGCACAAGGTATCCCACAGAGTCAGTAATTCAGTCAAAAAAAGGCAAAAAGAAGTCCTGTTCAATGCACTACACCCATCACTCATGAGCCGTGCCATCCACACGCCCTGCTCAAGCAGCTCCACCCCTCTCCCTGGAGCACTGCGGAGGGAAAAGCTCGGATCAAACTGTGGAAAACACAACTTCCACCCAGAGGCTTTCAGATTTAAAACTCAGTGTGCTACATTTTAAGGCACATTTCAAATAAACAGGTAGATTCCTATAATCCACATCCCAATCTGCTCTCAGCCCCGTTTGAAACCCTCTTTTGTACCCAAACCCGCAATTACCATAATAACAGCCCCAAACAGAAAGCACTAGAGGAACGCTGAACAGTGAGCGTCTTATTTAAGAGCTTTGAAGGTGGTTATTTTCCTGTCCCCTTGAAAACAGAGCAGTCTTAACCACCCAGAGACAGCAGTTATCACTTATGAGTCGCTTGTCAAAAGTAGCTTTATTCTGTTAAGAAGGAAAGCAGAGTCAAACATCTTTGGCTAAAGCTTGCTGTTAGCCCGCTGCCTGCAAAAATACACAGGGATGTAGGAAAACATTGTCTCCCCTAGCACAGACTTCAGTTTCAGAAAAGCAAGTTGTTGCCTTTTATTTTAGACACCTGCCCAGGAAAATCCATGGGTCCTGTTCACATTGGTCAGCAAAACCCTGATTATCTTCTAAAAAAAACCCATGCAGCTTGCTGCTCAGCCTGGACTCACAAAGGGACATAGTCCTAAGCCTTCCTCTTTCTAGAGACAGTTTCCCAAATTCCTGAATTCTTCTCAAAGCAGAGCTGCCCAAAGCACAAGCACTTGGGGGAGTGAGCTTCACTCAGTTTGGATAAAATCCATCTGATCTCCACTCATGGCAGTGCTCCTCCAGATGCATTTACGGACTGAACTCTGGCACACCTTTGATTAGAAATGCATCCTAACTCACCACTAGAGCCCAGACATGGCAGAAAACAGGTTGCAACCCTTGGAAAATGGTTCAGTGCTTACTCTTGCTATTAAAAGCCAGGGCTGTACAAAAATCTCAGCTAATCCACAAGCAAACATAAACACACTGTGCGAGTCCTGACAACTATAATAAAATGATCCCTGGTGCAACAGCTTTCAGCTGTCTCCCAAATTCTCTTTTAGATCATGACTTATCTGCTAAGAACAAAACCCTACATCTGTCCTCAGCAACACAACAAACATGGAAACAAATGAAGTGAAACTCCCACCACATCCATCTGGTGAAGGCACTGCTCTGAAGGATCCATAAATATCTCCTAATTCAAAATCACAATGTCTCCATAAAAACAACTAACATTAGCTCCTGGGTTTAGTTGGATTATCTCACCAAATTATCTGAAACGTGGTTTCCTCTAAGCTATTAAACACGACATTTGCAGTGTGGTTTGAACTTCATCCAGGAAGCTCATCCAAGCAGCAGCAGGAGAAGGATCCCTGTCAGAATCACGGCTGCACCGAACCCCTGACTTCCCGAGGACCACAGCGATCCCCATCAGCCCAGCAGCCTTGGAAAGCAACGACGGGGGTCCAGCCAGCAAGCAGAATCCCACAACTTCGCTTTCACTGCATAATTGCCACATTTAATTGCATCTTTTCCCACTTTGAGCACCCACTCACCTGGCCATCTGCTTATAGGCTTTCTCGGCCACGGCGAAGATGTGGGGATCCATGTCCCCCATGTTTTGGTCACTGTATGCATAGATGGCATCGTCTTCATAGATTGGCAGCTCCTCATATGGGTTGATGGCCACAAGCACGATACCTTAGAAAACAGATAAATAGGCAGGTATATTACAAACCAAGCAGGGAGTTAATATTTCAGGCTTTTCAGGACGCGCATTAGCTGTTTTGATCAGTTTTTTTGAAATATGGTGCTTGAAGGGAAAAAAAGGATGAGAATTGATTGGGGAAGGACTCCTGATTCTTATCTCAGCATCTCCTTTTAAGGGCCATGCTTTCATAGCAAGGCAATAAGCTCCCGTGCAGCTGCAGAGGAGGCCTAAAAAACTAGAGATAAGAGCAAAAATTTGTTATAACTTACGCTGTGTGAAGCCAGACTTTGCAGAAGGAGTGAGGAAAGCTAAATAGAGCCTGAGTGATCACTTCAGAAAAGCAACCAAAGCTCTGCTAGACCCCAACAAACATGCTGGGGTTTCCCCTGGCTTAAATCTCAAGTGAAAGCTCGTAACAAAGAATGTATCCAAATCAAACTGAAATGCATAAATCATAGGAAAGGAATGCCAGAGCCTGCTTTAAAGCTTTAATGTCTGCCTCCTCTCCAGCTCTAGGAACACCCTGCCTGCCCAGAAGAGGCAGTAAGCCTCAGAATTAATGAGAGGCAAAGCCACGCGTGGTGCTCCCTGTGTGCTGGAGGGAGCTGCTCTGCACATAAGCCCTGACAAAGTTCCACCTCCAAAGCACCTTCAGGTCCTGCAGGTTCAAACTGTTACTGGGAGGAGCTCCAGGGAGCAGGTGGGAGTGGGCCCCAGCCAATTCAGGGCTTGGGCACCCCGAAATTACAGCAGAGCACAGGAACCCTCAGCTGGCAGCGAATACCAGGAGACGCGAGTTCACCTGCCGTGGAAGGCAAAGGTCAGCGATGTCACCTGCCTCTGCAGGACATTAACCCAGCTGCTTCACAGGGCTCCCTGTGCCCTCCTCCTGCCTGTTTGCTTCCTGGTTCTGTTAGGCTAGGCATGCCTCAATTTCCCTTAGTCACCAAAAGCACCACGCAAGCCAAGCCGAAGGGCTGTTGTTGACGCAGATAAGCATTTTCCCGCCCTTCTCAACCACTTCATAACCAAAGCACGGGGTATTTTGTACCCGCACAGAGCTCTGCAGCTAAACCTACACTCGCTGAGCCCAAACCCCTTTATCTTCATTTACATGATGCTGTGCTCGAGGTTTATCATAAACCTTCACGAGAAGCTGCACAAATGAAACCTCGCTGATTTTGGACGGGAGCAGGTTTGCAGCTGACTGAAGGCACAACGTGCAGCTGCGAAAGGCTGCAAGTTGTGCCAGCAGTCCCACATTACACATCATTAAACACTGGGAGGAAAGTCACCACTAACAGCCACAGAGGCTGCATATTTCAAGGGAACCATTTAAAAAAGCCATCTCCTCCTGCCAAGCATTTCCTCAACAACCCTGAACTGAAACACTTCATCACAGCTGTACACACCAAGCTTAACCCTGCCATGCAAGTGGTGCCGTGGATTTTGCTGAAATCCTGCAACTCCTCACAGGACAAGGAGGAACAGCCTCAAACTGACACAGAGCAGGGTTAAATGAGATACTGGGAAGGAATTCACCACTGTGAGGGTGGTGAGGCCCTGGTTTCCCAGAGAAGCTGTAGCTGCCCCTGGATCCCTGGAAGTGTTCAAGACCAGGTTGGACAGGGCTTGGAGCAACCTGGGCTAGTGGAAGGTGTCCCTGCCCTGTGACAGGGGGTTGGAACGAAATGAGCTTTAAGGTCCCTTCCAACCCAAGGCATTCTGGGATTTTGTGAATTGCCTTCTTTCTTTTTTTTTGATTTTTTAAGTTGCAATTTGTTGCTATCTATTCACAGGTAGCTGCAGTCCTGAATACCTTTGGCAAGCCACCTGCCCCAAAAAGGACAAACCCAAGTTCACACCTGCCCTCCTTCCCCTTTGAATTCAAGGCTTATATGACTCCCAAAGTCATTAAGAAAAGGAAGGAAATAAGAGCACAAGAAGGTTTTTTGCAGTCTTGCAGGAGGACAACCTGCTATGAACATTTCTCAGTCGGATCACTATTTCTGGCATGCTGCTGGTTTTTGGCGATTTGCTGTATCCTACTTTTCCCCTGTGGGGGTTGCCAAGCACACAAAAAGTTGGCCTCAAACGCATCTGACAAGATGCTCCCACCAAGAGTTAGTGGAAACACCAGCTGCTGTGGAGCTGGATCACCTGGACCACGAGCTCAGGAAGTTCACAGTGCACCAACCCTCAAAAACCACCTGTGGTTTTACAAACTAAAGCCTGCTGGCACACACCTGTGTCTCCCACCCGACCCAAAATCACAGTCCCCAGAATTTCCTCATGCTGCAGCCTCTGGCTTGTGGTCTCAAGGGGTTTCTCTGTGGACCCACAGCTTTCCAGGAGCTGATCGTGTGGCCTGGACACTCACCGCAGTACGTGTAGACAAAGTTGCTCTCCAGGAACCTGACTTTGAGGTTGTGCAGGACTGCAGGCTCGTGCAGGTAGCTGAGGGCTGTCAGGTCATTCTCTCTGACCAGGATATCTGGATTGCATAGGAGAGGCAGCTCATTTCCTTGGAGGTCAAGACGATATTCGTAGAGCTGAATAGAAACACGTGAGGAGTATGAGACCACAACAAACAGCTCCTTTAGTATCTAATAATTTGTCCAAGCATAACTCTGTTCTGATATTATAAAATACTTACACATCCTGCTCTAAGTGAAATTACAAGCCCCTTTATGCTAAATGCTATAGGGACCTGGATGACATGCTACCAGGTGACAGGACACCCTTCTAAAATGGCTTTGAGGTGGACAACCAAGGTCCTGGAGTACACTGATGGTCCACAAGCACCAACCTGAGCCTATCTGAGTTGCTTTCAGGCCAACCTTGGGGCAGACAGCCTTTAGCCAGCTCTGAGCAGTAACAGGAACCACACAGGCAAGCACAGCTTCATCTGATCTAAGCACCTTCATGCTCTTTGAAAAGCAGCCTCATTGCAAACTAGACCACGCTCTTACTATCAGAACGATTTCTCAACTCGTTTTTAATTCCAGTTACTTTCATACCCGAAACCTGACACCCCTTCAGGCAGAGAGGACATGGAGAATCGTGGAGTCCCTGCTGCTTCAGTGTCTGAGGAGCCAGTTTACGCTGCTGAAGTTACCATATGGGCAGCCTTATGCAATTTTTAACTCATCCTCAAGTGAGCAGCAGAGCCACTAACTAAAGGAAAACTGTAATTTTTTTTTTTTTTTTTTTTTTTTTTTTTTTTTACAGTGGAGGAAAAAAATTTTTCCTGTGATGTTGCTTCCCACAGAGTGCCTCAGGAAGGGGTCCTGACGCTCGGGTCCCAGCAGAAGGGAAGAGCCCCAGTTTGCAAGCAAAAGAGCACCAGTAGCACTGCACTGGCACTGGAACACTGCCCGTGCAAACAGCACAAGGAAAGCTGGCCCCAGTGCACGAGGATGGGGTCTCTCAGCACGTCTGACAACCTCAGGCTGGTTTTATTCTCCAATTCCATCTTGTCAATGCCAATTTTCAGGAGTCTGCGCTCAGTCTCACATCTTAATGGCAAACACACCAGGGATGCCTTGTGATATTTAAAAGTCAGCTCTTCATTCAGAGGGAGTACTCTTGCATACAGAGCAGAGCCAGAAAACACAAAACCCATGAAAATGCACTTAAAGCACAAGGACAAAAGAGAAGCACTAAACTGTTGGGTAATGCATGTTGGCTGTCAGGAACAAAAGGCTTTCAACAGCTTGGAATCCCCTGAAGATATGTATGCTGGGTATCTCCAGTCTGATGGAAGGGAGTGCTCTCTCCCTATCCTAAAGCTTTTCAGTCCAACATGACTCAGATCCAGGCAGGGTTTCATACAGAAGAGCATCAAACAGGGTGCTCCTGCGCAACCCCAAAATGAGATGTTCCATGTCTCACCATGACAGTGACATGCTTATTAAGCTACTTCCTACAACACCCAGTAGTCCTTTTGTCTCTTTGTACTTTAATGTTGCTGATACTCAACTCAGCTCTACAAAAAGATTTGACTTTGCAGGATTTCTCAGCCCCTTTGGTTTACAGGGAAATATCCAGATTAAAGAGGGAGAAAAAAAATCCCCCCTTTCCCCCCGCCAAGCACTAAAACTGCTGGAGATCTCAACCAGAAAAGGATGGAGGTTGTAGCACTCAGAAATATGAGCAGACATACTTTGGCAGCCTGAGCACAAGAAGTGGTAGGAAGGAGTTGCTGTGAATGAGATGGGCACCCACTTGAACCCAGGCACCCATCTGTGCCCAGCTCTGGGGTTCCCAACAGGTCAGAAGGTCCTGAAGCTGCTGGAGTGATAACAGAGGAGGCCACAGAGATGCTCTGAGGGCTGGAGCCCCTCTGCTCTGGAGCCAGGCTGGGAGAGCTGGGGGGGTTCACCTGGAGAAGAGAAGGCTCCAGGGAGACCTGGGAGCCCCTTGCAGGGCCTAAAGGGGCTCCAGGAGAGATGGAGAGGGACTGGGGACAAGGCATGGAAGGACAGGACAAGGGGGAATGGCCTTAAGCTGAAGGACAGTAGGTTTAGATTAGATATTAAGAAGAAATTCTTCTCTGGTGAGGCCCTGGCATAGGTTGCCCAGAGAAGCTGTGGCTGCCCCCAGCTGGGGGGGATCCCTGGAAGATCCCTGGAAGTGCCCAAGGCCAGGCTGGATGGGGCTTGGAGCAACCTGGGATAGTGGAAGGTGTCCTGTCCGTGGCAGTGGAACTGGCTGAACTTTAAGGTCTCTTCCAACTTGGTGCCTGGTGCTTCCAAGCAATAGTGGGGTGGCATCTGTGCATCTCCTCATCCAGGTTTATCACCACGGATGGTAAAAAAAGCACCTCCAAGAGTAGGCTCATCCAGCCTTTACCCTTCTCAGAAAGCTGCCCTGTGCTGGGAGAACAAACTGTGGAGGACAACAAAAGCAGACAAGGCTGAGCCAGGAAAAAGCCACAGCGCCAAGCCCTGAGTGCAGATTCCAACATCAGTGACTTTCCTTGCAAACCTGGTGCATTCACACACTGCCAACAGCCTGTGCTTGCGCTGCTGGGAGAGAAAACCTGTTTTGATGAACAGTTAGTTAGCTACATCAACCACGTCCCATTCCTGTTCTCCATCCTCCCATTAAGCAATATGGTCAGGATATTCCCCAAAGTATCGAAATGGTTGGCTGGCAGTGGGATGTGGATTACTTGCCCTCCTCGGAGCATGTTCAGTTTGGAGTAAATGTTCTTTTAAGCAACAGAGCAGATCATCCTCTAGACTACTGAGGAAACCCTACCTGCTCTGTGAAGAAAGCTGGTTTAGATGATATTCTTCATGAAAAATGTGTTTATTCTTCCTGATACACCAGGCACCTTGTGGTGGGTACACAGCACAGCTGCCCCCTTTCCATAAACCACCCAAATTTGCAGCTGATGCAAATGCCAGGGATAACTTCATCTGCAATTCCTTGCTGTCACCCAAAGTACCACTCCATGAGCTTTCTGTGCAGAACAGAAAGCAGCTGCTCTTCCCCAGCCTCCATCCTGCTTTGGGAATGATTTATTGCTGGCTGCTTGTGCATTTGGAAGCAGCGCTTGCTAAGAAAACATCTACATTTAAATGAGTTTCGTGCTTTTTGTCTTTTAAAGCCTATTTGTTTAAAACTAAAATGGAGGAAAAAGAGAGTTTTACAAAAGGTTATACTTAAAGGGAAAAGCAAAAAGGCGTGGAGAAAGCTGTTGCACAGCAGTCAGCTCTGTGCTCTGTGTGATTTCTCCATCGGTGCCCAAGGTTGAGTAGATGCCACCAGCCGTGCTCTTCACAGTCTGTTCAGCAGCAAAGAGCACAAACTGGTATTTCTAAGATACTGCTGCTACTAAAAAAAAAATACATTCTGATAGCACAGACTATTACAAGTTTGCCAGGGGATGAAAAGAGATGATGGAGGTCAAGGGCTTTTCTCACAACCCACTTTAACGTGAGTGTCTAGGGAGGGAGCGGGTAGGGAAGAGCTGGAAGTGTTAAGGCAATAAAACACATTATAAACTACTTCACAGAAACTATGAGATGGATCAGGCTTCTTCACACATTAATTTGAAGCTTTAAATTACTAAAAGGAATAACGACGTTCAAAAGCTTACAGTTTCATCTTCAAGTTTCAGCTGGAGGCTTTTATCTCCCTCTTTGTAATCCTTGATAATTTCTGCCGATTTCCAAACTTCATCAGGGTCAGGAATCCAAACCTTGGTGTACTGGAAAGGGGGGGTGAAAAAGAAGAAAGAAAAAGTTTAAACATGAGGAAACCTCAGGAAAGTAAATGAGAAATAAATTCACTCTCTATTAATACAATCCCACACTCATTGTAAAGTCAGTGCAGCTTAACCAATTATTTCAGTCAAAAAAACACAAATTCCAGTTTTAGTTCTTGGGGTAAATTATAGACCAGAAGTCTGGTTTTCAATCAAGCTTCTCCCGGATGAGGTGTATGCTGCCTTGTTACTCATCTAACAAAGCAAGGTAGAACCTCAAGGCAAACGTGGAATTTAATTTCCCTGGGAAAAAAAAACAGCCTTCCAGAAGCTTTTATGAAATAGCACAATTCAGCCCCAGCAGACCATACATCAAAGTGTATTTATTTTGCACGGAACAGGACAGTTTGGTTCCCACAGAGCAAGCCCCAGACCAAACCCACTGCCACGGAGCAGGCAGGAGACGACACCAAAGCCAGCTCCTTCAGCTGGAGGCAAACCTGCAAACAGGCTTCGGGGCTCCAGGAAAATGCAACATTTAACCTTTTTCCCCCCCACCAAAACCCCCCAAGGCATAACTGCACAGCCCAGCCGAAGTGTGCACGAAGGGATAAATCCCCAGCGTGAGAGGCATCGCTCACACATAAGGAGATCGCAGAGTTACTCTGGGCCACAGCTCCTCCTGCTAATGAGATTTAATTGCTTCTAAGATACAGAGATAAATATTCTGCCCAGGCTGCGTAAAAGCATCCCCTCGTTCTCAGCAAGTAGCCAGTGCTGTGCTGAGACTTCCATGGCTTTTTCTGGGAGCTGGGACAAAAGTGCTGCAGACCCACCAGTAACACATTCACTTCCACCCGTGGGTTTCCCCTTACCCTCTACACCCGCCCTTCTTTTTGCCAGAGCAGTTTTTCAGCACTCAGGGCTGCCAGGGCAAGGTCCTGAGAACAAGGAACCCCAAATTGCTTCATCTTTGCATCATGAATCAGGCTTTAGCTGCTGGCCATGGGCCCACGAAGTCAGCCTGATGCTGGACTCAGACAGCCCAACAGAGGAGTCAGTGGGAACCCCTAAATTATCACTAATTTATTGGCATTTGGGGGGCATGTGTCCTCCCTGTTGATTGAAATAGGAACTATATAACCCTTTTCTTAGTCCAAACACAAGGGGTTGGGGGAAATCTCAGAAAATCCAAGCGACAGCAGCACCGGAGCATCAAAGATAGTTTCGGCCTTCACCAAACCCAAGCACATGACAGCCAAATAACATTTTGTAGCAACCCACGAGGTAAAACAGCAGCGGCCACCATCTGACAATCCGCTCTGCAGCTGAAAAGCAATAAGGTTTTTTTTATATGTAACATTGTAATTATTTTTAGAGCTGCTCAATACCTACAGCAGCAGGAACCTTTAGATGTTACTGGAGCTACACAATTGTATTGCCAGAACAGCAGTTTTATCATGCAGGGGAATAACTAACTAACTAACTAACTAACTAACTAACTAACTAAATAAATAAATAAATAAATGTGGGGATTTTTTTCTTAGCACACCAGCTCTAGACCCCACGAGCCTTCGGTGCTCTCCCCACCACGAGCAAAGGAGGCTGCAATGAGGAAGGGGCTGGTTCAGGACCCACAGCCCAATCTCCATTGTACCCTCCAGCCAACAGCAATGCAAGAGCTGACACATCCCTGCAGCACACCCCATCTTTGGCTGGCCCTTGAAAGAAGAAGTAGGTGCAGCTGGCGAGATGATGATGCATCACTCATCCTTCCTCACCTGCGTCTCCAGACTCCAAGACTACAGAAAGGGCTTTACAGACCATTCCTGCAGCTCTCATCCCCCTGCAAAGTGCTTTGCCTGCCCTTTTATCCCCACCACTGTGGATTCATCCAGTGCCAGATCTCTCCTGGCAGAAGAGAGATTCAGACATGCTCCAGAAATGCCCAGAATAGCCAAGGATCAGGATGTACCCTGCTCAAGGCAGCTTCAAAAACAAGATGTTGCTGGTCTTGGCAACCTTGCAAATTCTCCACCTGCACACAGGGCTGGGCTGGGCCATGGATCTGCCTGGACAGGCAGGTGCAGACAGAGACACGCTGACCCCAAAGCAACCCAAAAACCACAGGGGTGCTTGTGAACGTTTTGGTAAATGGAATTTGGGTGCACCTCCAGCAGCAGTAAGAGGTCACAGTGGTCATCCTCAGCAGTTCATCACCAGCCACGGCCAGGAGCCACCCAAGACCCAGGTGTGACAGGAGGCTCTGAACTGCTGGTAAAGGGTGGCACCTCTCAGCGTCCACTTCCCAAAACCCAGTGGTGGGAGACTTCATACCCCATCAGCCATCCTGACCAAAAAAACCCACAGACTTTTAACAATAAAACAGATTTTCCAAGACTTTGTGTGTACACACATGTGCAAGGGCTCACACAGTACAGGAGGAAACAGGACAGAGATGTTTGCAAGGTCTCGGGATCCCTGGGGGTCACTCACCCCCCGGCTGGGAGATCCCAAACGTGGTCAAGGTCTCCATGCTCCGAGTGCTTCCCATGCTGCTAAACAGCCAGGGGCTGCTGGAACAGGCTGCTGTTGAATGCATTTCCCCAAGCATCTGGAATGCTGTCCTCTCGCGCGTGCACACACACGTGTCCGAAAAGGGGAAGAATTATCGCGTTTATTTTGTTGTGCCTTCTCACCGTCCTCCCCTCCTTGCTGTGCTCCAGCACAGACACAAGTGCTCAGCCCTCCAGGCAGGGCAGGCTGCTACAGAAACCCCCACCCAAGCCTTTCCCTTTGACCCATAAATACCAAATATGTGGAATACAGCGCTGGAATAAAAGCACTTTGTCATTGTTACATCTTTACAAGGGGAGCTTTAATTAAAACCTGACGAAGCCTGGAGGCGGCCCGTGGTGGGGGCACCGGGAGCACCACACTCATCCCTCCTGCACTCCCTGCCTGCAACCTGCTCCCTCCAAAGTGGCTTCACACCCCATATATTTTCCAATTTAATCCATAGAGATAGAGCCACCAGGCCACAAAAAACAGCGACCCTGGCAGCTACCCACCCAGGTAGGAGGAGAGCATCCCTGCGAACCCCTACTTCCACAGTCACACCTCTAACATAATTATACCACTCCATATGCCATGTCCTGGCTTTGTGAGCTTTAACAGCCTCTTGGTCTTCTGGAGGAGCTTGTTATGAAGGAAAAAGGCAGATGGATCCACCTCAAAACACTGGGAGCAAAGGATTAACTTGAGTTCAGGCTCGGCAGACACAACCCTGGGCAAACCACTTAACCTCCCAACACTCCAGTATCTCCATCCATTTTCTTTTTTTTTTCTTTTTTTTTTTTTTTTAAGAAAAACATTTTCTTCAATCCTCAAGGATGCCTTTAAATTATGTGTTAAAATTAGTTGGAAATAGCTCTGCATGCTCAGCCTCTCAAGAAAAAATATATTAAAAATAAAAAATTCTGGTTTGCTTTGGGTCTTTTTAAACCAGATCCCCAATAAAACTAAAGCCATTCAATGCTCTTGAAGCCTCTTGCCTTATTCCACTCAGCTTAAGCAGAAGCTTAATAAATTCAATCCCCACCTCTTGATTTGATTTAGATTTTAGCAGGCTGCCGCTGCGGATGCAGATTAAAACCAACATTAAATTAGAAGAAGCAGGTCTTGTTTTACTGTTTTGAAGCCCTTGGTGCTGGCCAAAGGCACTCCCAGCAAGCTCCAGGCAATGTGCTCGGAGGATGCTCCATGAAGGGATGTTGGTCGGCATGGAAGGAGTGTGGACAGAGTATAATTTTCATTACATTAAGAAAATTGGATGATCTTTCATCACACAAAAAATATTAAAAATTAGCTGTCTAGGTTTAGTGTGGGCTGTTTGGGGGTTGCAAGTCTTTATGGCAAGCTTGAAGTCAGCAAAATCCGTGTTTGTTATGATTGGTTTTTAATCCCCCGAGTTATTTCAGGAATGGCAATGCTCACAGCTGACCCTGGGAAGTTTTCACTGCTCCTGAGTCAAAGGCATTCTGCCAGGGACATCCTTCCAGCAAGCTGCAGGTAGAGGGAGGGCACAGCAGAAAACCCACAGTACTGGCAATACAACAGCACCAACCACCTCACAATTAGGAATTCAGTAACAGAGATTAAGATAGAGTATCTCATTACAAAGGCTCTTCCACACTGGTTAAGCAAATCTTATGAAAGGACTCTAGCAGAAACCACAGGCGGTGATTTGTCAAAAACTCAGAGGTGAACACACAATTGTCAACCAGAACGAGGCGGAAATTGGGACAAATCTCTGTATATTTTTCTCTGTAAACCAAGCATATTTTCACCTTTCCCCCTTTGCAGCAGGCTCACTGTATATTGTTCAGTGGTCCACGTATTGCTGGATGCTTCTGAAGAGTAAAAAAAAAAAAACCAAAGGAAAAACCAGCATGAGCTTCAGCCCTTGGCTTCCCAAGAACACACACACAGCACGTGAATGTTTAAGCAGCTTACACTGAAACATTACAGTAACTACCCCCCCCCAGCTCTCACAGGCTACCTATTACCAAAATCAAAGTTTCCCCAAACTGTGCTCTTCCCAAGTAAGAGGAAAGCACGAGCTGTACTTTAAATTAAAACCTGGTCATGCCACACACTCTGGATGTATTTTTCTTTTCCCTACTTTTCTTTAAAAGCTGGTATTAAAGATCCCTCCACAGAGATCATTTAAAGAGGCTCTTGCAGACAAAAAAAAAAAAACAACAAACAACCCAGAGGATTTTACTTGCAGTCACTGGATGGATGCTCATGGCATCCCCTTCCAGCTCTGCACCAGATCAAAAAAACTTCTCTTCGTTAATTTGCACTGGGGGTGCAGTCCTGGGCTGAACCAGGGTCACCAGCACACGTTTTTGCCCATCCACTGGCATTATGCCCAAGGCAGCAGGATTCCACGTCCCCCACAAGTTACAGGTGGTTGCTTATGGAGTTATTTAGCTCATATGGCAGATGTGTTTGTGCAAACCACTGTGCCTGTCGGTGCTGGGAAGAGCTGCTTACAGGGTGCTGGCAGGAGGGGGCCATGGAAAGGCACCAGCTCCAAGGCTCTCCCGGGTGCCCTGTAGCTTTAAAATTCCCTTCTGCCCCACTTGGCAGTGACTCAGGAGAAAAATCTTCTTTGCCTGTGGCACAGCAAGGCACAGGTGAGGTGCTCTGGCAGCAGGGCAAAAACCTCTCCATTAAGAGACTTGTGGATCATTACCTTTTTTATTATTATTTACAGTATTGAATATAGAGGCAGATGGCAAGCCATAATCCTCTCTTTCCCATCCTCTGAACAAGATTTTCACCCCAGGAATGATTTCTTCCCCGCCTGACAGACAAGCAAAGCCCATATTTAGGTCAGAGGTCTCTAAACCGTGCCGTGACTCCAGGACCTGCTGACCTCTGTACCTCACCCTGGTCTGGCTTCTCCACTTGCTGCCAGGTACCACCAGCTGGCAAACCCTCACAAGGGACAGGAGGGGATGGCAGAGGCTTTCACTGCTTGGTACAGAGCAAGCAAGAATGTCCCAGTGTTGCACATCTCTCCACTGCCCGGCACCGGTACTCGATGCTGGGAAGACAAAAACGGGCCCAGCAGCCCCAGAATGACCCCAGAGGGCATCTACTCACAACAAAGACCTCTGCTAGGAAAAGACCAGCTTCCTCCTCACCCTAAAAACCCAAAAGCACTGAAAGGAGAGGTTACGACTGGCAAATCAACGTTTCGATTCACAGCAGGGGATGTACACTACAATAACACCATGCTCAAGGGGTAGGGCAAAAAAATAATAGGACTTGACTTCTTAAAAAGCACAAAAAACCACCATTTGGAGCTACAGAACGCAAGTGTTAACCTGCTGAGGGTGTTCAGTGCACAGGGAAAGAGAGTGGCACACTGCAGGACCGTCTCTAATTCTTCAACGTGAGAACGAGTAATCTGTGTGCTTCCCAGGTTGATAAAAACACGCCATCCCAAACAGCTGAGCCAAGGGAGGTAAGCATAACCTACACCATCCCTCACATTCCCCACCATCCTCATGCTATCAGCCTGGATAGACAGTCCCAGGAAAAGCATGCAGATGCACACTCAGACCTTGCCCTGTTCAGGGCAGGGCTCCTAAATCTTGGGGAGCATCTCCCCACCCCGGCGGGCTACAGGGGTCCCTGGATTTGAGCTAACAAAGTACGTGCTTTGCTGATGCCTCCTGCGTAAAGGGATATTATCCTCTCCCCCTGAAGAGATGTCACACTGATGGATGGCTCCAAGTCTCCCACTAGCACTAAATTTGCTCCGTTTCTCCTTGTGGAATTTTACTCCCCTGCCCAAATTAATTCAGATGACGATTTGCATAAAGTGTCACAGCAGCTGAGCAGCACTTGGACAAGCAGCATCTGCAGCATTTATCCACTGGCTCATTAGCAGCATTTCTAATGAAGGGGCATTAAAGGGCTTCAGTTCATCCTTGCACCAACTTCATGTCACCACAGGCAGACAGAAAACTGGCACCAAGCAGAGTGGGGCTGCGGGCAAGCCCTGACACCAGGATAGGAATACTGGGGGTACACTTGAAGCCTTTACTTAATTAAGCATGATTTTCAGGATGATTTCCAAGACTAATCAATAGTCTTACATGTAACTAACAGCCAACTCTTGTATTCCCATCCTCTGCCTTGCCACTTCTTCTGTGGCATCTCAGCATCCCTCGTTACTGCAGGTTTAATTAAGAGTGACAAGTTCAGCATCAAGGTCTTGAGTGCACACGTAGCCCTGGTCTCACTGCAAAACTCCTCTTGCAGTAAGTCATTAGATGTTACAAAACCAGGTAAAGCCCCAGGTGCTTTTGGACAGTGCAAATAAACAATTTGGTCTTAATTTGGGATACAAAAAGCAGTCCCTCCTGGGCTGCGGAACGACTCACTCATGGGCTGCAAGACCAGGATTTGCTCTGGGCCGTGCAACAACTCCTCTATTTTCACTTTGCCCCTCTACCCTTCCAAAAACAACAGGACCAAAACCCCTCTGCCAAGGTCAGCAAGCCTTCACCCGCAGGGGCATCTTGTGCATTGTCACCTGCACTGCCACCGTCCCACAGCAGCCCGAGATGTTCCAGGAGGAGAGCTGTGCCCTGTTAATTAGAGCTGGCAGCACCTGGGGTCTCTCTCTGTGGTCCTTTCCAGCCTTGGATGAGGTTGAGCACAGGAGCCCTTGGCCCTTGGTTGCTCTGAAGCAGCGCTGGGGAAGGCTGAGGGCTGGCAGCAAGGACATAGCCAGGAGCCAGGGCTGCTCCTCTGGGTATTTAAAG